ACGTAAAGGGAAAGACGTTAAATTTTTTCTCAAATCCAAAATGAAGCGTTCAGAATTATAGAAATTATAGACATCCGGCCTGAGTATGATCATTTCTTCAGTGGAATGACTACTAAATGGGCTAATTACCATAATTCCTAATTTTTGTCCAACGTTTGCCGATATTTGGAATTTGTAGAAGAATTGGAAATCACGACGTGTAGGACAATTACCATTAATCCAATAATGTTTTATGTTAAATAAATATATATATATATAAATATATACAGTAGACCTTCTATAACGCGGGTTCCTATAACGTAGATTCCTATAATGAGGCGAAAAAATTGAGACAATATTCGTATAAAGACGCTAAAAGGGACGGGTAAAACGCTGTAAAACGTCATCGCGGACGAGCAGCCGAACTACTTTCCGCTGTCCAGCGCCACGCTACAGAGAGTTTAGGCGATTAAGTTGAGTTTACTATCGTCTGTACAGTATGTAAATTAGGTACCGTAAGTCTAATACAGTACTGTAATTTTATACATTTCTTGTGAAAGAAACATTTCTTATTCAACGGTCATAAAAATTATTTATATTAATGATGTCTCCAAAGTTCAACGAAGTTTTCGCAGAAAAATAACATCAGAAATCGCGGCCGCCGTTTGGTGCGCTGCTCCGCGACGAACACAAGCTTAAGCAATAGCGACGTCAAACGGTGCACACTCGGTAAGTAATCTTACAATTTTTTGTTTATAGCATAGTTTATACGGATTATTCCCAAAAAATTATACGTGTTTTGGAAATGTTAAGTCGAATTAGTCTAGAATCGATTAATTTTATGGAAGAAAACCTTTCAAACAGCCGTAGTCCGTAAACTTCACACGTGTCGGGCTGCGATTGGCTCATGTATTTAAGGATTCCTACTATATATACAGTAGACCCCTATAACGCGGAGATACGTTTCCTCGTTATACGAATTTCGCGTTGTAGGAATCCTTAAATACATGAGCCAATCGCAGCCCGACACGAATTTAAAAATATATATATATATATTTTTTTTTAAATTTTGGTTTACAGAGTACCCACACATAAAGCAAAGCACGGATCAACATGCTTGCATATTTTTTTTTTTAATACTCTTTTCGCCCAGTGGGCACTAGGAGGGCCTTATAAAGCGGGCCTATTATGGGTTCGGCCAAGCCCTAAATGGGGCGACCGGGTGGTGAGGGACGGGACCCGACATATCCGAACGGACCACCCTCGAAAAATCCCTGGGAATTCCTTGACCCGTCCGGATTCGGTCCCGGGTTCCCCAGAGCGGTAGGCTGCTGCCACTTGACCTCTCGGCCATCCGCCCGTCTAACACGTTTGCATATAGAATTTTGTATTTTTTTTCTGAACAGATCCTTAAAACGTCGAGAAATGTAAAAACCATAGAGTCAATAATTGATGTATCATTACTTTGCCTCTTTTACTTGACAGCCAGAAAGTAATGCCGGGTAATCGAAAAAATTTCCCGATTTTCATAACTTTATTGCTCGAATAATAGAAAACGTATCGAATGATTTACGTGTTAAAATGTTACTAAGAAAAATGAATTTTTCTTAGTTGATAGTGGGTTTCCATATATGTCCCACAGCAAGTGGAGAGCATATCGAAACCCAATATAAATATTATTTCGTATATTGAATAATTAAAATATCGTATCGTCGGCATTCCTACTTTACTTAATTATGTAAACAATTACAGTGTAAAGCTCAATTTAGTCTCGTAAAAAAGTAATGTTTATTCCTATATTAGTTACCAGATTTTAACCAGCTTTTACGTAATTTCCAAATTTACGATCGCAATCTTTCGTTCGATTACACGTAATAAGAACAACGTCGCCGTGACGAATTTACGAATTAATTATTTAAACAACGCCGCATTAATCAATCACCGTAAACGAATCAAACCTTTGATACTAATTCGAAGACATTGGTTCGAATTAATGTCGAGAAGTTACGTGGCTCATTGTTGCAGCCACAATCCGATTCTTTCTTTAATTTCCTGTCTGGCAGCTCGCAGTTGCGGCAAGTCGTCGGGGGAATCGGGATACATATTGGCGCAGTGAGCGGTTCCGTTAATGTAGATGGCGATTGCCTCGGGGGATATATCTCGAGTTATGCCCAGCGCGTGCCAAGGGTCGATGGAACCGTTCGGAAATACCACGTTCGTCACCCGTAGACCGAAGCCCCCGTAATTGAGATTGGTGCGGGCGATTCCTCTCTGCAGGAGTCGTAACGTAAACTCTGGTCCAAAAATGTCGGAACATTGTCGAACGAAGAAGTCGACGGGGAATCCGTTACCGAACGGTTGGGTGGACAGATCCGAAGACTGGAAAAATCCGAACTCCACGCACGTTTGGTAAGTCCATTGTCTTCCTCCTTCGGCCGCGCTATCGTTCCAAGAAATAGAAGACATGTCCCTGATGAAGTCGTTGTACTTGAAGTCCAGACATTTTTCCGAGTTGACGTCTAAAATGAGACTGTTTATTTCGGCGTATCGTTTCAGGGGCGATCCGACCGAATCATTTTCCATTACTCCGCAAATGGTATCGATTGTGATACTGGCGTCTTTTGCGCCTTCGAACGCTCTGTTATCTTTGTTATATTGAACGACTCCTTCGAAATTTCCCGCCAAACTGCTGAGTAAATTGGCCACGTCCTTTTTATTAGTGGCGTCCAAATCGTCGCACAGACGAAATATTTTCTTCACCATACGCCAATCGTCTCTGCGATTTAACAATTGAGATAGCTGTTGCACGGCTAGTCGAATGGCATCGTTGCACTTTTTGCCGGCGGTGGCCAGAGAATCGGTGACCACGCCCAAATATTCTTTAAAATCTACTAGAGCGAAAACCGGCGCGCTCGACGCCACGGATCCGTGTACCAAATGAGGATATTTCAAGCGATACCAGGCGGCTAGAGAACCGGGATACGAACCTCCGAAAGCGATCCATTTGCTGCCCTTCAAGTTATACTTCCGAGTTACGTAATGCTGAAAATTAGCCAAATCCGCCAAAGCCTGTTCGCTAGTAAGGTAGCGGAGGTTTTTGACCGACGTGTCTTCGGTCGGATGGCTCTTTCCGTAGTATCTGTGTTCTAACATGACCGCGAAAGCGTTGTAAGTCTTGGCGTAGTTCATAGGTTGACCTTTGATCATCCAAACGGGGTTGGCTTCTCCCTCTCCTCCTATCTGTAAAAATACAGGTCCTCCGGGTTTGTAAAAACTGGCGTTGACGAAATAACGTTGCTTCCAAACCCTATTATCCGTGGGATTGAAGTGATCTAGCTTCTGTAGGAACCATCGATCTTCGGGTAACGACTCTCCCTCGTTTCTGGCGGGAGACCTCAACATTCCGAATTTCCCTCTCGGTCTTCCTCTGAAGAACAGAGGCTCTCCACCCAGTACCTCGATTATAATGGTAGAACACAAGCACACAATTCCTACCCAGTTTACTCTCGCCATTTTGCTTTAATAATTTGACAAGTGAATCATTCGATAAAACTCGTGACTACGGTGACCTTTAGAATATTGATAGACGATATGTTTGTACATGCGCGAAGTACGATATCGGTTAAACGTTAACAGTTACATAAACAATATCGTTTTCGTTATCACTCTGAGGCCTTTCAACTAAGTAAAGCGATATCCGGTAGCGGAACCTTACTTCCACACGGTAATAGTGTCATCTAATCGTAGATTAAGCGATAAAGACCAGAAGGTTTTGTCTTAATTTTTGTCGGTAATATTATCCAGTGGTAACGGAAGATTCATATTTATTAATTCTAATATCAAAGCGTACGCCGGCGCGTAACATTTATCATCCAACTAATTATGTGGTGCGAGTTCGAATGTATAATGTAAACTTTCCGTTGCTATCGAATGCCAAAACTTCAATATTTCCGAAAATAGTTAAAATTAAGCCTCCAGGAGTAATGACTATTTTTGGTATCAAAGGATTTTATACAAGAGTAATCGGAGATTCGCGTAACGCTTCGAACATCAAACTGTATGCGAGTGCGCGAGCCGTCTCTTGTCACGTGGCACATCAAAGATCGAACATAGTGCGTGTAGTGCACGAGAGACACTAGCATCTATCGCGGCGCTCGTGTCTTACACGTCTATATGGGGCGCGATGCGAACTTTCCGTTGTATCCAATACCTAAACTGTGATATTTTGGAATTACGTAGATAAAACTAGATTGTCGGACCGCGAAATTAAACGACGAAAGAGACGGGCGTTAGTTCACTCCACCACCACCCGGATCGCTTTAAGACAAAACCGTTTTTCTAATTTAAAAATTTTAAAAAAGAGAAAAGAATATTTTACTACCAATCTTCTGTTTAATTATTAATCCGAGATGTAAAAATTACGCCAAGTAAAAGATTGTGACAAATCAGACGACAGTCAAATTGTTTTTCCTTAGGAGTATTTCTTCGGTACCGATTAGTTTGGCGATTTAAAGCGAAATGCACAAAACAATAATAAAAGTCTTACGGGTACCGCTTTGCCAAGATTTTGCAATTGTATACAAAACTTTTGACTACGATCCAGAAATTTCGGAAATTCTCAAACGTCTGTATAGTATCAATACATACCAGTGGAGTGCCGTCGTTAGAAGCGATGAATGCGCCGCTTCCCTCGTATTTTCTAAAATATAAACACATATTAATTTTAATTATACGAAAATAATCGCGCAATATTTTATTATAACCGCATTACGTATCTTATTACAAATTTCTATACTACGCGTGGAAAAAAAAGATAAGATCGCTATTGTATATTCGAATATTAGTGGCGGAGTAGCGGAGTGGAAACGCTGTATTGTCGGCATCCAAAAAGCCAGATTCGCGCACGCGCTTTACGGAGCACCGACCTCACCCGGTTTAGCCGGCGGAAGCATAGGACCTGGGGTGGCTGCTACACGTATAACGCTTCCGATTCTATCCGGGACCGGTTCCGGGACGTTAGCCGCCCGCCCGCTAGATATTTGGCCGCCCTGGCCCGATTACGCCAATCGCGAGTAGATTTATAACTTAACCCGACCGATAAGAATTTACCCGTATGTTTTTATGATACTTTTCTGTATAGTTGACGGGAGTTTTAAAAAACCCGTTAAAATATTTGATATATTTATTCCGCTCTCCGATTTTATATTACTGGCGGATTTCGATGTTAAACTGGCGATATTACGATTTCGCACGTCCCATCTTTAAGGGAATGTGGAAAAAACGTTTAAAATTCTTGTATTATGTTAAAAAATTAACCGTTAATTTGGTAGCATAATTTAAAACTAATTTAATGAACGAGAGAGATGCACGAAGTACGGAAAAAGCTGTAGGATTTATTTTCCTTAAATTTACGATTTTCGTATCCGTTTGTCGTAAAAATTTGTCTTTCCACTTTTTTCCCGAGACTACGAATATTCGAGTACGAAGTAACCGGTTTTGACTTATTTCTACTTAAGAAGTAGTTAAATAATTAAGCGATTAGGGAATTCGGGACGTAAACAAAACCCCGACGAAAGAGCCGAAATTTTACTTAAACAAAAACCTAACCGCACCTAGCGGGAGTCCCCGTCTCTGATTCCGAGCTATTTGACTAAGTGGTTAAGATTTAAAGAGAAGATTTTATGTTATTTTTATGTACGTTTCTTTGCAAAGCTATATTTAATTATAATTTCCTTTAAAAGTATATTCGTACAATCGAAGAAGATTTTGTACTGGGTATATATATCCACCACACATTTTATTTCACCGAGTCAGTTTTTATAATTTTATTTTTAATTTTAGCCCTTATATCGTGGCTAGCGATTCGGAACGGAATCGCGATATCGAAAATTTATTTTAAAAAAGTTTTGGCTCGAGATGGTATAATGAAAAAGAAAACGTTATTAAAAGAGAAAGGCCAATGCCTAAGTTAAATATAAACGCTTCGATAAAAAATTTGTTGGACATTTTGGCGATAAAATGGCTCCGTAAATGCATAAAAATGCAAGAATTGTTTTGTTAGCTTTGCCTATTATTTTCGAACGAAATTAGTGCGCTGAATAAGAATGGCTTCGACGATTTAGTTGGCGAAAGGCGCGAAAAATCGTCGATTCTTTCGTATTCGAAGAAGCACTTTGGAAATCGAAGCGGAATAGAATTTAATATTAGTAAATAATATGAAATAAATATTGAAAATTATAACGAGATAGTTACGCTAATAGATATATCTAAATAAATAGTTGTTATATGTTTTTATCGAAGCGAGAATTGGCATTTAAAAGGCGTATGGAATATATTGGATCTAATAACGGAGGTAATTACTGTATATCGAACTTGTTTATTTATTAAGTACGTCGGATAAATAATCTATTAAAAATACATTTAAAGAAAGAATTAATTGATTGCCCCCGGAAATCGGCTTCTTATAGAAACGCGGCTTCCCTATCATCGAATGTCACGGCACGCCACTGCAATACAGTATATATATTTTAATCTGTAATTACATTTATGTTTATATTTGCGAAACATTCTATTAATTCTTTCAATGCAGAATAGTCTAAATTAAATAAAATGCTAATCGTAATTACAAATAGTATTAGAGTTAAGCAATCGGCAATTTATGCAGCCGAACTCGGGTTACGAAATTTTAATTAAGAAAGCCGACATACGAATAAATTACAAAATCCTTATAAAAATTTTACACGCGTTTTGATAACGATCGAAATATAAAAATACGGCAGTATTAAATGACGGCGCTTCTTTTTAAAACCTACGTTAATAATTCCGAAATTCTTTTTCAATACGAGCAAATAATAGAAAATTTGGTGGGGAAAGGTGGACGCACAAAACAAAAAGTCATTACAATATTCCTAGCCTGGCAACGCTAGCGTTTGGCGCCTCCCGACGACGGATTTTAGAATCAAAGCTTGATGGTTGTCATTTTCGTGAGGAGTAAGTTTTATTTTTTTAATTCGTTACTTTCGCGCTATAACCGGTCGAATCATTCTAAACGGGAATAAAAAAGAAAGACGAATCAATTCGAAAGGAATTTTACCTTTGTGAATTGAGAAATTGCAGACGGTAAAGTAGCTGCGTGGTTTATTCGACAAAAAATGTCTTGTGGAATTAAAGTTACCGGCGAAAACCCCGACGACAATAATTCCGGCAAACTTCTTCGTAACTAAATAATTCCCAGGCAAAGTTTCGGTTTACGTTGCGAGTTACGACATTACCGTACACGTGCATTCACAAAACCCCAGTGTCAGTTGTTTATTTTATGGAACGTAACGTATTTTGAACTATTAAGATAACGACACTAATAACATCACTTGTAGGACTATTTGTAGGTCTTCGTCACTCGGAAGCGTGCGGTGATTCCACTTTGGTATGGTCTTCGTTTTGGTTACGTTCGCCTCACTAGATCGCTACCGTCGACTAACCTCGCTAATTGCTACGTAAATTTTCTACGGAAAATGTTCTCGGCGGGCGGCGGGGTTCCGGAGGACCCCGTGCCGCGGACGCGCTGTCGCCGGAGTCGCGCCCGTGCCGGAAGAGTTCGGCGTTTCTCGGCAGCCCCGACTCCACTCGTGCCGTTCGGGATCGAACGGACGCCGACGTATGGGCCGCGGCGGAGAGACTCGTCTCGGTCTCTGCGGGGAGGATGCGGCGTGTGGTGGTTAATTAGAGTCGCGATTTTATCCGCGGAGAGACCCCTCCTTCCCTCGGAATGGCCGGTCGGTTGACGCGTTCGATCCCTCGAGTTTGAGCGTTTGGGGAAGCTGGCGTCGCCCCGGACTCGACGCCTGCCTCCGAGTGCGTGGCGCCGCGGACGGATTCCCGGGAGCTACGTGACCACGGCGTCGACCGGTCGTCCGACGGCCACCTTTGGCCGGAGTGTCTGCGACGGACGTTTGTCCGAGATCTAGAAGACCATTCGTTCTCGAATGATAATTTCTGTCGCTGCTTTTATGGTTACGGGTGATTTGTACTCATTAGTGGTTTTTTTATTTTTGCTCTTTCTTCCTTAATTTGCTCGAGTTTGGTTGTTTTTGGAATGGAATAATCTACAGTTGATCCCTTATAAGGTGGTAGATACGTTCCGTTCTTTATGAATCAATTTTGTAGGAATCACAGCCAATCACAACCTGACACGTGTGAAGTTTACGGACTACGGCTGTTTGAAAGGTTTTCTTCCATAAAATTAATCGATTCTAGACTAATCCGACTCGACATTTCCAAAATATGTATATTTTTTTTGGAAATAATCCGTATAAACTACGCTATAAACAAAAAAATTGTAGGATTACTTACCGAGTGTGCACCATTCGACATCGCCATTGCTCAAGCTTGTTTTCGCCGCGGAACAGTGCAGCAAACCGCACCTGCGATTTCTGATGTTATTTTTCTGCAAAAACTTCGTTGAACTTTGGAGACATCATTAATATAAATAATTTTAATTGCCGTTGAATAAGAAATGTTTCTTTCACAAGAAATGTATAAAATTACAGTACTGTATTAGAC